TCTCCTGGCTCCGGGAGTGCGCTTACCAGGTATTTCATGGGGATGAAACCGATCTCGCCTCCTGCGCAGAGCTTGAACTGGCGCTTCACCAGCTGGTCGCTTCCTTGAAGGGCCAGCTTGGGTTTGGTGAGCTTGGTCTTCTCCTCCCAAACCCTCTCCAGCTGTCCCCGTTCGCACGAGACCGTGAGATTCGGGGCGGTGTCCCCGGGCGTGTGTGGCCCGGGTCCCGCTGTTGCATGCGCTCCAACTCCCATGGATCGTTGAGCCGCGTGAACCACCTGGAACATGCGGGCCGCGATCAGCCGGGAGGTCACATCCGTGTAGTGGTGGTTGTTGGGGGCGAAGCCCAACTCCCCCGGCGCCGTCTCCCTTGCACGGTCGGGCGAGTCCCACCGGGTCGCGAGGTCCTCCATCGAGACAAAGCCCTCATCCGACAGTGTCGCTTGGATGAACCACGGGATGCCCTTGAGGACCATGAGGTTCCTGGCGGTCTTGTGGAGCTTAGCCACTGCGTCCGTGTACACTCCAGGAACTTCCTGTGGTGGTGCCACCAACTCATCTGGTGTCGCCGCCATGGTGTGGGTGGGCGGGATTTCAAATCACAAGACAAAAGATCAAAAGGTCCACTTGAGCCAAAATGGTGGCCCAAGTGGATACTTATTAAGAGTCAAGACAAGCGACCACCTACGGTTAACGCTTTAGCCCAGACTCTTCAAAGCACCACATTGGTGCTACTGGAACCTTAAGCGCGAAACGGTGCATCCTTTACGCCGCATAAGGGTTAGTGCCAAAATGGGAGGATTGCCCAGCTCCACTGGGCAGCTCCCCTCAGCAGCTGATGGGAGTAGAATTGATGCCATCCCCAACGGACGGATCGCATCAGCTGCCAATACCAACGGACGAGCTGGTCGTTGGGGAGGTCCTCCCTCCACATATGCCGTGTGGTCCCGCTGTCGCATTTCAGGGCCCTCGGCACCTGTGCGTCCAGCGGTCCGGCTGCGGTCCACCCGGTGCGGACATCCCAGGGCCCTCGGCACCTGTGTCCCCTGGTTCCCGGGGCACTGGCCCCCTGGGATAGGGGTGAGAAACATCTCCGGCACCTGTGTCTCCCCCTCTCCAGGCCCCTTCGGGGTTGCGTGTCAGGGCCTTCGGCACCTGCGCTCCCCGCTGGCCGCGGGGCTGGGCCCCTGTGCCGGAGGGCGTATCAGGGCCCTCGGCACCTGCGCCCTCTCCCCCTGCCTCCTTGCCTTGAGGCATGGGGGGGAGATGCGCTCATCGCATACCGCCCGCAGGATCATCTGCTCCTTGGAGTCCGCCACGTCCTGGACCGGGAGCTGCATCACCTCCGCCGGGGTGTCCGTGAGGAAGGCCCGGGCCGCGAGGACCTTGCCCATGGCCCGGTAGACCAATCGCCACTCCGGTCCTGTCTGCGAAAACGGAAGGCCCTCCTCCTTCAGGAAGCACCGCGCGTCCTCTTTCAGGGTCTCCCAGCCCTCGGCGGGTCTGATTCTGGGCCTTGTTTCTCGGGCCCCGCTGCAGCAGTGGCAGAGACTCCCAGACCCCCCAGAGCTGGCGCAGGGTGAAACTGTGCCCGAACATCCCCAGCAGGCCTGGGAGTGTCCAGGACGAGATCTGGCGCGCCCAGTGGAAGTCCTCATCCGGATCGTGGGGGGCAGCCCAAAAGATGGATCGCAGGTCCCAGGGTAGGGTCGGTCCCCCGCCTTCGCCTGCTGGTGCAACTCCTCAACGGAGTACCTGGCCCAGGGGAGTCCACCCACCTGGTGGTTCCTGGGATGCGTGCCCTTCTCCAACGCCTCCGGATTCACCTTGGTGAGGTTTTTCGCCCAATCCGGGACGTGTACCGGGCCCGGTCGTCGGACCCAGCGGCCCGCAAAGATACGGACCTCTCCGACCCGTTTGCTCATCATCCAGCGCAGGACCGAGAGCTGCACCTCCGGGTCCTTGGTGTCCAGGCCCACCGGGGTGGCGGACGGCTTGTCAGGGCCCTTGGCACCTGAGCTCGTCGCGCCAGAGCCCGAGGCTGGGGGGATGGTGGGCGGCCTGTCAGGGCCCTCGGCACCTGGGCGCGCCGCACCAGAGCCCCCGCCTTTGGCATGGGGATCCCTGACAGGTCCGGCAGATCTGACAGGAGGGCCGCCGGGAAGGGATTCCTACCCAGCGAGATGACCGCCTTGGCCTCAAGGTAGGAGTCCGTGAGGGATGTGAGGTCGTCCATACTGAAGTCCCTCCATGCCGTTGTCGGCTCGAAGACCCCAGTCTCAATGGCGACCCGGACCTCACTAGGCCACGCACTGAAGGGAGGCGCGATGGGCTCGAGCATTCTGGTTTCGAGGGAGCCCTTCGCCTGTCTGGCTGGTGTTTCGCTTTTGCCTCCTCCGCAGTGGTCTGGGCCTGGAGGAGCTCCGGTGTGGGTCTCCCCCAGTCCGCACCCAGCTTGTCCAGCAGCTTCTCACGGAAGAGGTCCAAGTCCAGGTTCTTCAGGAGCAGGCCTCCATCACCTCCTCCGTCAATGGCCCCCCCTTGAAGTTCGTGGAGGACCGCCGCGGAGCGCTCCACCGCTTCCACCTGGTCCGCCTTCTTGGCCTCCTCCTGGGCGATGGTGGTGGCGTTGAGCCGGGTCTGAATCTTGAAGGCCTTCACCGCAGACGGGTGGAAGGCTCTGCATTCCTGGCCCTCTTCCTTGTCGCCTGGCAATGGGGGCCTCTCCCCCGGTGGGGCCGTCAGAAACTCCTCGTCCAGCTCCATGGGGCAGTTCCTGATCACCGCCCGGACCGAGGAGGGGACGAAGTCCGAGAAGCTGGCCTGGTCCGGGTTCTCGCAGGCCATCGGGTCGGTGGCCAGCTCGCTGACGTCCACCGAGGCACTGAGCTTGAGGTCGCGGGCCCGGTCCGTGTCAGGGCCTTCGGCACCCGCGGACCGGGCCGCCGTCCAGACCGCATTGCCCTGGTCATCCACCGTCAACTGCCAATGCGTGCCCGCCATCTCCAGGGTGGCCGAGTTGGTCGCCGTGTCAATGGGCTCCGTCTTCTTGCCGCACCCCATGCACTTCGTGGCGCCCTTCTTCACCCAGGGCATGGTGCAGCAGGGGCAGATCCAGGATGTGGGCACCTTGCCCAGGGGGCGGTTCTCCAGGCCCCCGTACCCCAAGCCAGCGCGCTTGCCAACCTGCTGCCCCGGGGTGCTGAGCCGGGCCTCATGCTCGTACTTCATCTTGGCGATGTAGAAGGCCTCCACAACGCGCTCCAGGCCCCCCTGCTTGAGCTGGGGGCCCTCAAAGCCTCGCAGGAGCCGCTGGACGTCCTTGGCCTGCAGTCGGCGGAGCCTAGTGGCCGTGGTCGCATCGAAGCAAGGGAAGTCGCCCGCCATCTGGTCGTCGCTGAACTGGTAGAGGCCCTCCGAGACCTTGAGGGCCTTGGTGAACACGCTCCCCCCCGGCGGGGGGGCTGCGGGGTTCTCATCCTCCTCCGAGGACGCCTGCTCCTTGACCTTCGCCATCAGCGAGCTGCAGCCAAGGGGGACCTGGGCATCGGCAGCTCCTCCTCGTCCTTCGCCAGGAGCTCCTCCATGGGCACGTCCTCCTCCGGCGGGTTCAGGAGCTCCAGGAACGCCCCTGGGGGGCGTGTCAGGGCCTTCGGCACCTGCGCCACCCCAGGGGCTGCATCTTCCATCGGCTCATCCTCTGCCTTGCGCTTGGCCGGGATGAGGGGGGCCTGCTCCAGCTCATCTGCGCTGGAGAAGAAACGCTCGTCAGGTGCCTGAGGGACCTCAGCAGCCAAAACGGTCCATCCTTCTTCCTCCCTCTTCACTAGGCTCGCCAGGTACTTTGCCACGGAGGCCTTTGCCTTAGCCTTGGCCTCTGCTACCGCGGCACCAGCGTAGGCGGGGGCGTACATGGCTTTGAGAGTAGGGGAAAGAAAGATTTCAAATCACAAGACAGAAGATCAAAGGGTCCACTTGAGCCAAAATGGTGGCCCAAGTGGATACTTATTAAGAGTCAAGACAAGCGACCACCTACGGTTAACGCTTTAGCCCATAGGAAGTGGGCGCTAAGGAGAGGCGTGCAGACTCCCTGAGGGGGTGTTGGTTTCCAACAAGGAAACTGTTGGTGATGGGAAGGGGGGTCACAAAAGCCCTCTCTTAGACAGGGCAAATGTGAAAGACACAAAACAAGAAAACATGATCAACACCTGAACAGCGGGCAGTCTATGGTTGATTTGAGGAGGGCATCAGGTCTGCCGAGTTCCGCTGCCTTTACCAAAACCAAGAACCCCACCCAAATGAAAAATTAGCGAGCAATGCTGTCTGTTAACTCGCCTGGTTACAAAGCGGTCTTCCCAAGAAACATGGAAAAGAACCTCAAGCTAGCACGTTTCAATTCTGGTCGATATGAAATGCTGTTCAATCTTTGGACAATGCCAAAAAAGATCCTCAAACCTGGCAAACAATCATATAAGGCGGCTCCCAACAGAACCCCATGCGGCCTTCGGCTGACCTTGAAAGCGTTTGCCCCTCTTTTGTTAGCTGAGTCTACAGGAAACCCCACCCGAGGATAGCTAGGAACTGGCAAAGCAAATTAAAATTAACATGTTGCAGGGTCGTGGTTTCAAAAAAATGTCCGGGACGTTGAAACCTTGCATCGAGTTGGGGAAAACTCAGAGGACCTCCCTACAATGAATCGACTCCCCGCAAGAGGAACCACCCCTGAGGATGGTCCTCTGGATTGATCCCACATTGGAAAGTTGCCCAAATCCATTTAAAACGATCCCTGCTTGGGAATCTGTCAAAATAGGGGGATCGCCAAAAAGTGTGTTTTCCTTTTGGGCTTCCTTTGAACTTATCTGTAAGGTGTAGCTGCCCTCAAATTACACCCCCATTTGTGGGCAACTTACCAGACGTAGACCCCCTTCAAAAAGACATCTTGTTTGCTGCTTGAAAGGAAAAATGCTGGAAACCCAAACAGGCCCCCCGCCCCCCCACGCCTTTGGCCCGCGGCAACGGCGGCCGCTCCAGCGGTGGCCGCTCCGCGCGCTCAGGGCGCTCCAGGCGCTCCACGCGCTCAGGGCGCTCCACGCGCTCCGGGCGCTCGATGCGCCGAGGCCGCTCTCGGCGCTGGCGGGGACAGGGGAAAGGGGAGCGACATTTTCCTTACTACCTTTTCCAACTACGTTTTCCTCAGTCAGTCACTTATGACATTTGAGCAAGGGTCCGACCTGTAAAGAGTGACTTAAGATTGCAACCCCATCGGTCCGTCTTGGGCTTGGTACATATGCAAAAACCTGGTTCTAGCACCAGTGTTTACAGGGACACAGACACAGACACAGAGACACACAGACACACAGACACACAGACACACAGACACACAGACACACAGACACACAGACACACAGACACACAGACACACAGACACACAGACACACAGACACACAGACACACAGACACACAGACACACAGACACACAGACACACAGACACACAGACACACAGACACACAGACACACAGACACACAGAGACACAGAGACACAGAGACACAGAGACACAGAGACACAGAGACACAGAGACACAGAGACACACACACACACACACACACACCGCGCGCGCGCGCGCGCCCATCCTCTGGGGGGTTCACCTTAAACCCTCTCACAAAGCAGGTTGACCTTGAAAGCCATCCAAAGAGGTGGTAATGTTTGTTTCCCTTTTGGCTTCCCCTTCAAGCCCGTCCAAACAAGAGGGTCCCCCACCACCCAGACCCCTCGGATCAAGCCGTGCCTCAAGCTCCTGACGCGAGCCTGGCTGGTGTCGGCTCTAGGGTCGCCTCGTGCGTCTCCAATTTGTTTCTTTCTTTCTTTTTCTGGTGTTGATGTTTGTTTTGCTGCTGTCTTGTCTTTCTGCTGATTTGTTGTTCTGTTGATTTGACTTTTTCGTTCTGCTGTTGTGGTTTTGAATGGTGGTGTTTGTTTCCCGGCTTTCCGGTTTGCCTTGAGTGTGTTCTGGGTTATGTGGCGTTGCTCTGGTGGTTCTCTGGCACTGAACTTACCTGGGCTGCTCCCATTCGGCCGAATAACTGGCAACCCTGTTTACCAAGTTGCTACCCTTGAAAGAGTGGGTGAACATTAGAGGCAAAGGGAGCAACACATGTTGAAAGGACACCGCCCTTTCAGCAGTCTTCGTTTTGTTCGAAACGTTTACCCTCCCAAACACGGAAGTGGACATGCTCCCTGAAAAGAATGTCGTCTTCCAAACGGGGTCTGTGAACTTCTATCTTTGTCGATGGGAACAGGTGGCCTGAAAACCATACAACATGGGAAGGGGCCCTTCATGTTGGGAAAAGAACGCACAAAGGAGCTCACTTTGAAGTATCTGGAATGTTCTTGTGGGCTCCGTCATTCAGGTTTTGGATTTGGTGCAAATTCTGGGTTGGACGATGGACCCCCAAAAGTGAACCCCGTCGCTCCTGCATCGCGATTAGGTAGAGACAGCGGTTCAAGCCGAGCATCTTCGGGGGTCGGACCCTCATGTCGCTATCCAAACGCTTAAAAGGCTCAAGGTCAACTGATTCTCTTCAAACAGGGACCCCGTCATACGGAGCGGGTTATTGTTCAGCAGACACATTGGCGTCGAGAGAATGTCTTCGCAGGAGAAAGGTTAATTTGATGGAAACGTCAAAACTAAAAATAATAACATTCGGACTCAAACACAGACTCACACAAAAACGACCGCAAACAGCAGGACTCAAAAAGCAAACAAATTCGGACTCACACTAAAAAACACGGACTCAGACAATCATGCGGACCCAAAAACAGGCAACCCAAAACAATTTCGGACTCAATTTTAGACTGCGGGGGTGCGGGGAGGGCAAGGGAGCGATGCAAAAACCAAGGGGGAAAACAAAACAAACAACATGTATAGAGCAAAATAGAAGCAAACGCTGACTCGGTTTCAGACTCAGGGGTGCGGGAGGCAGGGGGGAGGGGAAAGGGGGACGTGGGGGACTCGCCCTTCGCTTTGCGCTTTGCTTGTTTTTTGAATTTGTGTCTGTTTGAATTGTGCTCTTTTGACTTGTGTATTTGTTTCTGAGTCTGAAATTGTATGTGCTGGCGTCAGGTTTTTTGAGCTAAGTCTTTTCCTGAGTCCGAGTTTGTGTGCTTTTGAATGTAGGTTTTGGGGCTGGGTGCTTCTCGAGTCTGTGTGTTGTGTTTTTGTTTTGTTAATTTGTTTCATGCGGTGCCTATTCTCTGAATACACATACTCATAATAACAGCAACAAACAATTTGCCTCAATCAGGAGTCAACATGACCCGATGCTTAATGTCAGCCAACCATGTGTTTACAGGGGACATCAACAAGGGAAATCACGCGTGTTCACGAACTAGTCATTGAACTTGGCCCATGTCCCTGCCAAGAATTCTTCTCCCTCACTTCTCTCTCTCTCTCTCTCTGTCACGCAGAATGCGGAGGTAACCACAGACACGCCAAACCTCGCCTGCCCGCGGCTCGATGGGATCGCTGGCGCGCACCCGGCGAACAGGCTCCTGGAAGCCAACACACTCATTGCATCGGCTCGGGCTCGGGCTCGCGCTTGAAACGGAACACGAATGCTAACCCCGGAATAAACCCATCCGAATTTTTCTCGGGAGGTCTTCCCCTCCAAAAGCAATCTGAATTCCCGACGAAATGGAAATGGGGGACATCCCTCTATTAATCAACCAGGGGTTCTACTTAGATTCGGGTTCCCATTAAACGGAACCCATCAACTTGGGAAGTCTGATTTCGAGACAGGCTTCACCCTGAAAAGGGGCAACATGAGGATGCACTCACTTGCGTGGATCGATATCAACCTCCAACTAAAGGAGTGAACTCCAGAAAGGGAATCGAGAAAGACACGAGCAAACAAAATGAGGCTGAGAAAATGGAGTTCCCAAAAAGGGCTGTCTTTTTGGGGAAAAATGGTTTGACATTTTTTTGGACATGGGGTCAGCAGAAGGGTTCAGCCGGGTTTGCCCCTTTGCTGGGACCCTGAAAAAGGCGAGTATACGAGGGCACATTTCACCCTAACACCAACAAAGAGCGGTGTTGGCCGATTTGGTGGCATCATAGACCCTCAAAGGCAGTCAGGGTTCCTTAGATTTTGTTAGGCTGTGTATTCTTCTTGCTTGCCAGAAGCAAATAGTTCAAGCTTTTGCTGGTGAATGACAAAACACCCACTTGAACCTGCTTTGTCTAGAAGCCTGATCCACCCACTCCCTCGAACATGTAGCTCGACATGTTTAGAGCCAACATAAAAGCATGGAAATCAGCGGCCAACAATCCCGCTGAGCCACAATAAGGAGGAATCCCTATGCAAGGAAACTTCCTCAAGCATAAGGTCGCAAACCAATACCTTTTGCTCGCTATTCGGCCAGAACCTATGGCCTAGGTTCAGCGGCTGTCCTTGCTGTCTATCAACCGTGATGGCGCACTGCCTCAGCCACGAGAATCCCGAAAGGGGGCGACAAAGATCCCGTGCATGCGTGCTTGTGCGGCTGTTTGCGTGTTTGGTTTGTTGTTCGGCACACACGCACGCACGCACGCACGCACGCACGCACGCACGCGCACGCACGCGCACGCACGCACGCACGCACGCACGCACGCACGCACACGCACGCACGCACGCACGCACGCACGCACGCACGCACGCACGCACGCACGCACACGCGCACACACACGCACACACAAAACACACACACACACACACACACACACACACACACACACGCACGCACACACACACACACACACACACACACACACACACACACAGAGTTCTTCACTTTTGCAGCCTCCAGCACTTGCATTCTCTTTGAAGGGGAGGAATGGCAATTTCAACATCGCGCCAGAAAGAACGTTTCAAAATGGCCCATCGCCCAAAAGGTACACCACACAAAAGGCAAGAAAAGCGACCACTATGTGTCCCATGCTATCTCTCAAAAACTTTCAAGACATGAGTAAACTCCGACCTATACGTCTTTAAGGAGTAACTGTTCATGTTTTCACCGATCGTGTTGCCACTGCACAGTGAGACATCGCAATGAGGGGTTCTGCTCTCACGTTGCCTTGTGGTTTGTTTGCGATGTCAGAAGCTTCACACCATCCTCATCGCAATACGTGTCATAAAAACTCGGAGTTGTTCAACCTGCTGGGCAATCCCACTTTTACTGTTACAAGCCAGGGCAGCAGGCTAAATGTTCTAAGCAGCATGGAGCTAGGAGGGGTAACTCACGGTCCCCGATTGCAGAAACCACGCAGCGCCGCATAGTCTTACTGCATGTGCTAAGATAACCTGCATGGGGACCATATCCACAAATGCATTCATTGGCGTGCAACGTATCGGAGGTTAACTAATGTTAGCTCGTCGCATGCATGTAACATATGCCGACTGTGCATTCAACTTGGATCACCAGGCCTGAGGTGGCGTTCAACTCTGAGCCCAACTGACTGACATGATGATGTCATTCAGGGGTAACAACTCACGGGTAAGCATCTGCGAAGACATAGTTTACCAGCATCTTAGAAGAAGTATCTGTTGAGCACTTGCCTGGAGTCACTGCAGAGGGTATTGCGAATTGACATCCCTTATAAAGGCACCAAGATTGAATCGACATCCTTTTATATCGGCACCAAAGTTGAATTGACATCCCTTATAACAAGGCACCAAAGTTGAACCCTCTGAATCTCGACATCCCTAAAGGCACCAAACCTGAACCCTCTGACTCGCGAAGAACAAAAAGAACCACCGGCCCCTGAGCTCGAGCCGGTTGTCGGCCCAGCCCGGGCGTCCGGCGCGTCGGGGCCCCGAGGTCCTGAAGCGGGCTGGTTGGGGCTGGTGGGTTTTTTTTGGCGGGGTTTCCCGTTGAAAGGCGAAAAAAAACAACGGGTGCCAACTCCCAATTAAAAAAACCACACCCAACTGGATGTAGAGGAGAACTGCAAGCAAGAAAGGGGGTGCCAAGTCCAAAACAAACGACACACCCAAGTTGATTTGGAGGGGAACTGCATCGAAACCTAAGGAAAACCGATTGAAACCACACAAGAACCAACCGGCCAAACAGAAGCCAACCATTTTTTTGGGATCCTATTTTGAGACAAACCCAAATTGAGGAACCCGTAGAAGCATTGACTGGATTTTGAGCTCAGGATCTGTCGGGGAGTTCACATAGGATCCGGCCTTGAGAATCCTCCTTTTCACAAAACTACTACCGTTACCACCCGCCAATCCCGTCCACCCTCGACGCTCAAGTGGGAGCACGCTACGAACGACGAAACAGCCAACTCAACCTTGCAAAAGCAGGGTTCATCATGATCTTAACAAGGGCACATGTAAAACGCTATCAACGTTGCATCAGCTTAGTCAAGCCTCGACATGGGGGAGTGAATATGGGTAGTGGATCCACTCCTACACTTCCCCTGAAGCACCAAGCCTCCCTTACCCCACCCCAAATGACATGGCTGTGCAATCTCCGGAAAGCTGCGCGAGCCTCAAGACAATAAGAGAGCGTCACAAACGTCGCAACTGCTCTTCAGCTCCACATCGAGCATGGACAAAATCCTACACCAGTACTGAGGATGGACATAGTACTGATGGACAAAAAATTCAGCACCAGTACTGAGGCTGCAAAAAACATCCTGCACCAGTTGGTCCTTGATCCCGTTCGCAGAAGCCATCCACCGCCGATCCCCCGTGGATTTCTCGTCCATTGCCGGCCTGCTTGGCCTCCGGCACCCGCGCCCGCTCCCGGCGCAGCGGCGGAAGCTCCTGCGGGTGACTGGTTTCTTCTCAGGCCGTGGTCAGATTCTCTGGCCCCAAAGGTCAAGAACTGTTTGGCGGGTTCAATGGACACCTACTTTCTCTGGGCTGTCCGTTTTCAGATCTGCCAAAAGTGAAGAACGTTTAGCGGGTTCAATGGAAACCATACCCACTGAGCCAACAAAAACCTTAAGCAAAAAGCAACAAATCGAAGGTTCGGAATGGCTGGGAACCAAGTGTTCCAAAAACCGCAGCCATTCAAAGGGGCGAAGAAGCCTTTTGGTTCGGCCGGCAGAACTGGGAAACTGGGCCAAACCCTTGGCCCCTGCGAAGAGTTGTCTGCTGGCTGCAGGCAAAGCCGGTGGAGCGGGGAAAAGCTGGAACTTCACACTGCGCCGAGAGCCGCTCCACGTCTGCGGGAGTTCACTCAAATGAGCACGCCCTCTGGACCACATGACGAGTTTCCCATGGATTCCCAGGGGGGCCCCAGAAAAGCAGGCTTCCCTAGGTCCTTTCTAGGGCTTGATGTTCCATGCCTGTCAACAAAAAAAAAACCTTCTTTTCAAATACCCAGCCTTCCTGTTTCCTGCTTTGGTTTGCCTGAAGGAAACAGATCCCTAATGGGGGACGCTTCCTGTGAGATGTCCAGCTTTCCCGGCGCCTGGCTCGCTTCCCTTGCTTCGCTTGGAGCCCTCTGGGAACAACGGAGCCGACAGGGCCAGCATCTTTTGTTGAGGCTCGGTGCCCTTTGGGTTGCTTTGCAAGGGAAACCAAAGGGAAAACCACCCATTTTGGGGGCCGTCGTTTTTAGGGGTACCCATGGTACCCCTCAAGATGGTGGGCTTTACTTTTGGGTTCCCTTCCACACCAAAGACGCGCCCGTTTCCCCGAGCTGAGCCCGAATCGTAGCGTTTGCGAGTCCTCCTTCCTGCTCCGAAAGTCCTGGCGAAAACGCCAACGGCTCAGCGTGCATACAAATGGCCATGGGTCAAAATTCCGTACCCCCAGTGAACATCCCAATCCCCACTAAAATAAACCAAAATTGGGTGGTGCACCTGCCCCAAAATGGTACCATTGGTTTTGGCCCACAGCCAAAACACGACGAAAAAGTCGTTGCTTCACTTTTTAGGGGATCCTGTAAATGCTTGAGCAAATCCAGCAGCCCAACAAGCAATATGAGCCATGGTCAAAGCTCCTATGGATCTTTACTATCAGGTGGATGACCATCCCTGTTAACCCGAAGGAAAGGGGTCTTTTGACCATGCCACACATCAGGTGCTCAACAATTGCCTTCTTTCCAAGCTGTCCGCTTCCATTGTTGGAAAGAAGAGGCAATAGGGAATCCACCACTCCAAATCCCCTTTTCAAAGGGTAAACGCCTTTAGCCCCATGGGACAAAATTTGGAGCGGGCTTCCACTCGTCGGAGGCCTCCCCCGATGTGTTTTCAACCAAACAGATCGAAAAGTGGCGAACTCCTGGGCTTCACTAAATTTCGGAGGCGTGCTTTTCTTGTACAACCCCACAAACCCCCTTTCCCAGGCCTCGTTGCAGAAAGCCAAACCAGGAGACAAGGCGAACCCTAAAATCCTCTGTCCTCCCCCCCCCCAAAAAAAATCGATGAGCTCACGAACATCGTCCAGTTCCATGCGGAAACTCCCAGTTGGGGAGGGGTGTTCGTGCCCAATGCAAAGTGGGTAATGGGCACCCTGGATCTAAGTAGAATCCCTGGTTGATGAATAGCGCGGTTTCTTACAGTGAAGAAGAATCACCTTTCGAGCAGAACACTTCCCTATTCATAGGACAGTTTGTGAATCTGGGGTCAGCTTTGCCAAGGGAACCATGGGGCTACGACTTTTGCAATTCCGAAACCCAAGGACTTTCATCAGCTCGCCATACAAAAGAGCGGGGTCTGAGAGGCTGTGCTCTCACCAACATCCCCCTCAAAGCCAACCCTCTCCTCGCGCCGGTCGCGCGGAATGCGGTCCACCGCTGAAACCTGCGAACGAGTCAAAGCAAGACCGATTCGGCAAAGGGGTCTACCCAAGATCCAACGTAACAATTCAACATTTTTCCCAGCTGAAAGCTATGGATTGGATCCATACGCCTAGCTAGGCTCATTCGGGGTGGTTTGGCTGTTGGGGATATCACCTGGGCTTATTTTGTTTGCAACATCCGTTTCCATGGTTGGCACTGTGCCGATTTGGGAGAATTCATGTCAAGGCTGGGAACAGTCGATGCAAAAAGCTTGGTTTTCTGTGCCCACAAAAGCTGGGCACCGAAGAAGCAAATTGACAAAAAGACACGACTAGGACCTCTGTAGTGTGTGTTCCTTGCGGAAACGAGGAAGCACCCCATGGGCCCCGATGCCTACGGCACAGAAGCTGAGCCCGGGATTGAACTCCGAAAGCCCCTGCCATGCCCTACCGCGCAGATGCACGAAATCCGCTGCGATCAGCACCAGTGGGGATACTGAGATCAGCCTAGCAGGTGGATTTCGGCCACAGTATCACTGTGCTGTTGAACACTTCTTGGCCATTTCCTGTCGGTTAGAAAAACCGAGAAAATCCATCCCGGGGAAACCTGATCCCCACACGCCGGATTGCTTTGGTAAGGATGCGGGACATAGGGAATGTTGAAAGTGCGTTCAACAAAATTCAAATCACCGCAATGCTCACAAACCCCGACCAAATCACAGCTCATGCCAACATGCGGACCATCATGACTTCCCAAATCGGAACCATCCCTCTCCATTGAGAAGGGTAAGAGGGTGAGGTCTGGTGGTTTGCTTTGGCATGTGTCACTCCCTTTTCGTCGTTTTATTTGGAGCGTGACGTTTATGGCATTCTTTGCTCAGATTCTCTTGTTTGATGTCGATGCTCTTTTGGTTTTTGTGTTGGTTTCCATGGTTCAACCCCTTTTGAATCTGCGCAGTCAACAGAAGGGACCAAAAACGATGCCCGACTCCCAAAAGGAGAGTTCGAGAAATTGCGAGTGTGGGGCTTCTATCTTCTTATCTGGGAGAATTCCCATGTTTGGATGCTTGGGCTTTGGTGTGTGTGTGTGTGTGTATCCTGTGCATGTTGCCTCATTCAACCTCTTGCTGTTTGGCGTCGCGTTGCTTGACTTGTTGTTTGTTGGTCAAGTCGTATTCGAGTGCTGTCTCTTGACTTGTTCGTTTTGGTGACCATCTCTTCATAACGTGTTGCATGTTCATGCTGTGTAGATCAGCCAACGAGAGAAAGGCCTTTGTCCTTTTCGGCGAGATTTGTTTGGCCGGGGAAAGAGGGTCCGTTGCCAGTTTGTTGACTTTTGCCTGCCGAGCTCATGAAGTCTTTTCTTGGGATCCCTTTCGGGTTTGGAGTGCGAAACGAAAGGGAAACAAGAAGTGTCCAACTTGTGTAGGCAAGTCCAAATTGAAACCAAAATGCTTGGGGCAGCCCCCTTTGCTTGGAAAGATCACAAGGGTGCGACCTCGCACATGAAGGTTTCTTCGTGCGTCCCGTCGTCCCTTATTTCGGGTGGAGCTAGTACACTCCCACGTGTTGCAGGGATCTATGAAACATAAGGGAAGCCGAACGGGTTCGGTTTGTTCCGCGCGCACACGCATTGACACCAAAGGTAACCCTCCGTTTTGGCTTGGGACGGTTCCTCTTGGAAGAAAAACAAAGCGCGCAAACTCCCATCCTGCCATTGGCATCTTGAAGCAAAGCCAATCCCTTGAAACCCGGGATGCTGGTGATTAACACGCTTTCTTGCCAAAGGGGATCAGTCTTCTGGTCGTGTTCTCCCTGCTTTGGTCCATAGTTACTCAAGGTTCCAAAAAGGTAACCGGCTGGTAATCGCACGCCTCCATGTTGCTCGTTTGCTCCTTGGCAAGTGCCGTAAATGGTCAGCCCTCTGAATCACGCAAAGACCGGGGCGGCGCGTGATCAGAGCCCATATTGCTTCCCTGAAACTCGGCTTGTGAACATTTGGGGACAGGTGCTCGACCTTTCCGTGCACCAGGGCTCCATTTTTGGAGTTCCCCTCCCGAGCTCGCCTCCCGCGCCTCCCGCGCCTCCCGCATCTCCCGGGGCTCCCGGGGCTCCCGTTCCGCTGCGGAGGCCTGACGAAATCCGCTTCGCAGTGGGGATGAAACCCTAACACTAAAATCCACCAGGGTGGATTCTGTCCACAAGAATCAGGGTATGTCTAAGAATCTGTCCAAGGGTCTGAGGGTTCAGGGTGGTAGTTGCTGCGCAAATACAGGGGTCACTTTACCCAAATCAGCGGAGAAAGCAAAACAACCTCTGAACCACTTCTCCTCATTTACACTTGGAAATGAGGTGGCGAGGGTGCGTTACTGTACTTTCTTTGAAACGAGGATTGGCTTGCCCCAAGGGGGTTGGCGCGGGTTGTCAAACAAACCTTTGAGGGCAAGTCCTTCACTTTTGCCTTAAACATGTGCTGGATTCTGGTCATTAGTTGGTAGACACAAAATGGATCCCTGTTGCTTGTAAAACTAGGGGCACGAGTTCAAACTCCACGCTGCTCAGGCAATTGGTCTCTCCTCATCCGCCCAAACCCATGCCGGCGACTCGACTCGTGGGATTTCCAGCTGGCCAGAACACAAATAATAAGACTAGTCTGAGTGTATTTCTTAGAAAACGCCGTAGAAATATTCACAACAACCGCGGCCAACGCGGTTTAAGAAGGCGACTTGGAAACCTCCCGGCACAGGATGCACTTCTCCAGGGCGAAAGCGGAATATATATATATATATATGTATACCCTGTATATAGTAGATATATACCCTGGGGCTTGTAGTTTGGGGGGTGGACACCATCTAAGACTAGTAGGGGAGTTGAATAGATCCGACCTCTTTGTAAGCGATTGATGGTTTCAGCCGGGCCTTACAATACTTTCTACCAAACCAAGAGTAGGTTCCCCTTACTAGCAAAGATCTAAGAGACGAATGACATACACCTTGTTCAGACCATACCAACCCACTTTACTTTGCAACAAATATATACCCTTTTTAGGGAAAGACATGAACAAGGGTGTTTTGCGGGTCAGCCACCAAAGGGCTGCGTGAAAGGGGGTATCAACACAAACACCCCTACAAAACTTGGCAACTGTCAGAGTTCAGAGGTTTGGGGTGCCCTTGAACCCCCCCGCCCCCACCTTTGCCACCTGAGTCAGCATCAAACCTGGTACTACAAAGGTCTACCCCAAGACCATGCAAATGGCAGCACCCATTTATGGTTCCTCCCCTCAAGCCAATGAACAAAAAAAGGGGCACCCTCTTTTTTGTGAAACATCCATATGGGTCTGCATTCTTTTCGAGGCTACCCTTTTTGGAGCGTTTCAAAAAGGGAAACCTCAACCACCCAGGACCCATTTTGGGGATTCCCGTACTTTGAGACAACTGTTTTGGGGATTCTCCGATTTTGAGACAACTATTTTGGGGATTCCCATTTTGGGGATTCCCCTTGTTTCCCTTATGAGCCTTCACCTCCCCTGTAGCTCACTTTACCTCGCCTCCACCAGCCGCAACGCACTCCTGGCGGGCTCTTTGGATGCGCGCCGAGTGGCCATCCCCTAAAACTTGCTGGTGCTCAGAAGAAAATGAGGGAATGACCTTTCTAAACCATCCAACTTGTGTTTTTTGTTTAAGAGAACCCCTGGGTACGTTCCCCCAAAAAACGGTGAAGACGCAAACCCTGGCCCGGTCAGTTGATAAGACATCGAGAAATGCTTGACCGTCGAAGCATCCGAATGTGAGCCCCGGTCCATAGTCCCAACATCTGAGTTTGGCAAACCGCATTGACTGGTGATTTGAAGAGGGTGCTTGATGTCATCTCCCCTACTCCCGACATATTTTGTCTCAAATGTGGAACTCACTTCTCTGTGAAGACCCTACCCAAAAACAGAAGCCCCTTCACAGAGAGTCTAGCCTAAAAGGACAAGCTTGGTCTTTCCTAGATTTGGGCTAACATCAATATCCAATTTCCTTAGCACCCTACACTTTCATGGTGCTAAAAACAGTCTTGAAACACGGCATGAAGAAGGACTGCCCCCTTGGGGTCTAAATGGGATATGGAACATCCGAAATGGGCTCGCGGGGGCTTGGTACCCCACCTCCCCGAGTTGCGCTAGGGGTGTCAAAAAGACCCATTTTGGAATCCCAGATTCTCCAGGAGGATGTGTTCAAAACACACACACAAAAAAAACACGTTGGGCACAAGGGAAACATTAGAGACACCCCCGCCATTTTTGTTTGCGCGCCAGGCAACCAACTGGACCCATCTCTCAGATTTTTGCCCGGCCTGCCCTCCATGCGCGGAGCCGCGCGGGTGTCCCGGGTGTCCCGGGTGTCCCGGGTGTCCCGGGTGTCCCGGGTGTCCCGGGTGTCCCGGGTGTCCCGGACCTCCCGCGTCTTGGCCCGGCCTGGCTGGAGGTTTCAAGCGGGCTTTGGGCCTATGGTCGTCAGCACGTTCTTGTCGCTTCGGGGGGTTCCGATTCCTCAAAGGGGTCATTCCTTCAAGGGTTCCTTTCAGGGTTCTTGAAGGGCTCCTCAAAGTGTTCCCTTGAACTTGGTGCGCAGGGAATGAGGGCATGACCCCGAAAAAAACCATCCGTGGTTCCTTGAACGGCTTCCGCCCTGGGTGCATTCAACTACATTCCCTGGACTCCTGCGGCTTTTGAGGTCAGTTGTTGGTTTCCCTTCACATGGCTTCCCTTTTGTGAAAAGCAAACACCGACCCGCCCAAGGTGGTCCTTTGGCCATGGCGCAATTTCCCCTCTCTGGTCTCTTTTTGCTTTTCTCACATCGATTTGCAAGAAACTGCCTTGAAGAGGACGCATGTCTCTCTCTGTAATTATTCGGCGAGGCTGCTCTACTATTTGGCAGGGCCCCTCTACTTCCCGGCTGCTCCCTGGAACAATGCCTCGAGTTACACCTGGCTGAGGGGACCTGTTTAAGGCAAACGGCGGGCCGCGATGAGAAACCGCGCCTTGAACCGTTGGACATCCTTTGCTCTATCGGGTTCCCTTGTGAACCGAATTGGGTGTGGATGTTCAGCAAATTGCCTGCCAGGTTGCTTCAACAGCCTCCTCCAGTTTCCCTTTTAAGAAACCTTCCCTTAAAACGAAACCAGGGTCTAGATATTTGAACCGACATTGCCGAACCCTGCCCCAGGGTTCCTTCAGCGTCTCCCGTAAAAACGCCGCCCCACCAAAGGAAGCTCAATGAACATGGACCTAGAAAGTGACGCAGCTCAAATCACCCGTTTTGCGGACGTCTGCCCCCCCCCCCTGGGGCAGCCGTTTTTCAGCTCGGGCTCAGGAGACACAGGTCAGGCCACTCGGCCAGCTTGGTGCTCACTCGATCGTCCAGGGCAGCCTGAGGCTGGGAGAAACAGGCGCATGTTTGGCGTATGGAGAACCATTCCCCAGTTGCGGATATGCCCCAAAATCCATCGATCGGAGCAAGCCGCAGGGTACACTTGGGTGCGTCATTCTTTCAAAGGTACCCCTTTTTGTGGCTCTGAAGGGAACCCAATTGGCAAAACCACAATTGTTTGGGGGGTTGGAAGAAAAATCGACACCACTTATGACCTTGGGCCCTGGCCATCTTGGCGATGTTGTGGCCGCCGGCCTGAAGCGTGAGCGACCAGCTCTTCGGCCGAACCGGTAAACAACGCGGGCCCGAGTGTGAACAGGGCCCGAGTGTCCTATGGATGCACGAAATCTGTTCGCGCCACTTTGAACCCATGAAAAACCGTTGTTTGTGGGCATTTACCGGGAACCATTACAAGGGAGTTTGTCCATCCACAAGCGTCCATTTGGAAAAGGAAAGGACCCTGGTAAATGACTAGAACCCAAATAAAACCAGCGCCCTCCATTTTCCAGCCAAAACAGCCAAAAAAGGACACCATCGCTCGATTTCCCGCGCCTCCACATCCATGAAGATGGTCAAACAGCCCTTTCTCTGCTTCAGCTCCTCGCAAGTTCCCTCCAACGTTGTCCCTCACTGCCACCAAACATCAACAGAACCGGCCAAAAATGAAAGGACGTGCCAACTGGCAGAGCACCTACGAGGTATTCCCAGTTGTGAGCGCACCCTCTCACCAGCATGGAAGCGCACAAACCCATTTGGGCATCACTCTCCTTTGGAAAGAGGCCTGTGCAGCACTCCCATGTTGGGCGGAATACGATTCAGGTACTCCCTGTGCAATCCGGGCATCGCCTAGTCCAAACCATTTTTTGTTGGCCCATGATCATGGCTCCCTTTAGAATCCTTGCTGTTGTCTAAATACCCGGGGTCTATGGCCAACCTCTGGTTTGGCCAAGGCACAAGGGCCGTGGTTTGAGGCTCGGCATCCGTTTTCCCGGCTTCAAAGGTACAACAAGGAAGCCCATCTTGAGGGTATTCTTCTTCTTGGGACAGCCCCATATCCTTTGCCCCTGTTCCTCTCTGGCTGGCGACTCCCCGTCAAAGCGTGAAAACCGCTTTGTGCCAGCTAGCAGTTGGAAACTTTTGTGAATGTTCAAAAAGGTTCTCTGTCAAACCAAAGGGCAACCAAGATCTCAAGAAACCTCGCATCAACTAGATCAAAGTGTTCAAGGCAAAACACCGACACAGGGCCAAATCGCGCCCTTGGAAGGATAAATTCCGCTCTTTGTTTCGGAAGTCCTGCAACAGGGCCTCATGCTTCTCGAAGGGGATAACATCGTCATCCTGCGCGCCGCAAAGTCTCTATTTGGGAATGACCAACACTAGGAACGGTGTTCGGAGGGAAGCAAAACACGTGTTTTGATCAATATTGATTTTGTGCATGGGGTTTCTAAAGATTTCATCGACCAGTAAAGAAGGGTTAAAGACTTTTTCTGTGAGGATTCCTCTTCTGACCATGCTATAACATAGGACCCGTATAGGAAGCTTCAACTGTCGAGGCCTTCACGGTCAACATAAACCTTTTTGCTGGCGAGTGGGGAAATGTGGAAGCATGTCAAAGGTTAGGTCCGGTTGAACCAAGCAAGCACGACAATTTGCGAAGTTCAACCACTCTCCGGCTTACATGATGTTATCATACTGTGGATGGACAACATCCTGCACCAGTCGGTAGGTGTTTCATCGCAGTACCAAATCAAGTATGAATAGAACAGACTCATACTCATATGTGTAATGTTTGACCTCAAGTTGCATCTTGTCAGATGTTGATTTGACTCTCCCAGCCAAAATTGCCACCAGTGCTGTCCCCCCCTCCTTGGCCCATAGAAGCAGCACCGGCAGTGTAAGCCCGCCAAGGCCGACGCCTTCCGAATGGCAATCAGCTTTACCCCTTACTCGACACCCCACGCACCATGCGGGGGGTCCGTGTTTAGTGTTTGGATTCTTGATGATTCTTGTCCTCCAGCCGGACATGAACCCCTGATGAATAACTCGGGGGGGTTATCAAGAGGTGAACATAATGAACTGACTGGTGGTTTCGGTCCATTTCCTGAAATGGCTGGGTTCCTGGTGGTGGCCCTTGGAATACCAACCAAAAGGGGCTTTTAAGAAACCGCCAAACGGGTGTTTTTTTTGCGAAAGCTCGCCCAGCAATTTTGAGAACTCCTCAAAATGGCGAGCCCAGAAAACAGCCTTACAGTTTTGCCGGAGCAAAAGCCACCCTTCTTCCCCCAAGCCAGTGTTTCCCACAAGCGCTAGAAATGCGGGAAAACAGTTCAAACAAGCCCCCTAGCGAGTTTCCAATTGAAGAAGTAGCCTCAAAAAAGCACCCTTCCCCCCCACCAAAAACGCTTCCTATACAAAGCAGTTCAAAGAACCGCCCCCCCAAACAAGTGTGCCGCCATGGGGGGAGACAAGTTCAAAGAGGCAACCCTTCTCCAACAAGCCTGATTCTTCTCGTGAAGAACTGCAAATATCTGTCCGTCGGGAAAACAGTTCAAAGAGGCCCGCCCCCTCCCCCGGACCCCCAACAAATCTGCTTTCCATAGCTTTCCATGGGGAAATAGTTCCAATTTTTAACAGACCCCCTGTTCCCCGCCCCGCCTTCCCTGACAAAATGAGGTTCCTGTTGGGCAAGCCTTCAAAGACGTACCCTTCTCCAAACAAGATGAGTTTCGTGCGCAGCTGCGGCGCCAAGAACGCGGAGTCTGCCAGGTTTGGCGTAGCAAACAGATGGGTGTTGCCGTCATGCTGTCCTGCAGCATGGTCTCGAAGACGTATCTGGCTTTGGTAACCTTCCATGCCAAGCACGCTTGAGCTGCGCGCTGCACGCTGCCCGACGCTCGCTTCAAAGCTATGTCGACATCTGCAAAGTGAGTCAGCTCCCTGACCGCCCGAGTGTGTGAAGCCGTCGCACTGGGGCAAAAGCTATCGAGCTCTCTTCATCCTTGCCCCCTCAAGGGAAAAGCTCGCAAAAGCACCCCCTTCCCCCCACAAAAAAAGAATGTTGCCTTAGGAAGAAACATCAAGTAGGCACCTTCTCTCCCCCCAAAAAAACAACTTTGCTTGCTTTGGATGAAAAGATTAAAGAGGCACCCTTTTCAAAAAAGTTGCTGCATGGAAGGAACACCTACAAGCACCCTTCTTCCCGAACAAAATGAGTTTCCCTAGATATGGGAAAACGTGTTGCAAGAGGCACTTCCCGACAAAAGACACAAAACAACATCAACGATGGACCCAAGAACATAGTCTCCCATAAGGGAACACATGCTCCAAGAGGCACCCTGCAACTCCAAAAAGTGTGCTTTCCATGGATAAAAACGGAACACTCCCACAAAGAGCTGCGCTTAAAGGGGTGTATGCCTGAGGCATCAGCACAAGAAACTAACAATAACTCACCAGCCTCCTAAGATTTCCACGTTCAGCTTGGGTAAAGCCGCAACCCCAGTAGTGAAGTCGCATTTGTTTGCCCACAAGAAACAACTCGCCGTTCAGCTGCTGGAAAGAAGACTGGTTTAACCAGCAAATTTGCGCGGGGTTGGCAACATGGTGACCCGTTTTTGAGGACATGAACAGGCAGCACAAAACGGCAGCTGTCTCAGAATCTTGCCTTGATTTGAGCTGCGCCCAAAACCCATTGTGGAAGCTCCGGATGGCCATCAGGGTCATGAAGATTTACACAGGCGTTGCTGTAATCCAACCATGAAGATGGGTAGTTGCAAACCAGACCAAGGTTTATGCGCGATGTTCATGTAAAACCTTACTAGAACCCCCACAGCACAAACCTCACTGAACCCCCACAATACTCAGTAAAGCCAACTACGATCAACCCGACTGGGGCTTACGTATTGCGAGGCGCGTTAGGTGTTGCCTGTGGGCGCGGGGCAAGCCAAGCAAGCGCCGGCCGCTGGCAGCCTCCGCGTTTGCTTTTGGATCACTGCAGACCTGCTGGGGGGTGAAAGCGACTTGATTCTTCAGGGCTCCGTTTGGTGGTTCGGAACATGGAAGGGGTCCGTTTGATCCGTTTGGTGGTTTTGAACATCACCTGCGCAAATCCGAAGTGAGTGATTGGTGTGCTCTTTCATGGGGAAATAGGGGTATGAACTTTCATCCGGGACCCTCAGACCTCGTTTGGGCTGGCGATTCATGCCCATGCTGGAGGGTCCCCCTATTAGAATTCATAGCCACATGGGTGTGTTTCCGTTTTTATTGATGGTCGTTTTGGGCGGGTTCTTGGAGGGAAACCAAAAGGAAACCACCCAGGACAGGGTCCACCATCTTGAGGCAACCCACATATTTCCTTTTTGAAACATCACCCCACCAAAAGGAAGCTCACTGCAAACTGGTCGAAAAGATTGAGAACCCTGATTTTTTCCAACTCCCGAAACGCATGTGGAATTTGGTGTCCATCTGTTCCTGGCGCCTCTAAGTATGAAACACTTGCCAGCCATATGAAGTATATGGTATATGTTTATCTGGCTGGTTCTCAATGAAGGCTTTGTTACAACCAGAATGAGGAATACCTGAGTCTAGATCACCCTTAAACAATGGGACCAGGACCCCTTAAGTTTGGGTACAGGAACTCACTTCTCAAGGGTCATGGAGACTCCAGGTAGGTTCACAACTGGCAATGAATAGAAGGCTGCTGGCTGACTGGTGCTTTGACGCAATGGCCATTCGCAATAAGCGGGAAAGAAGTTGCTTCCACAGTGCAGAGCTGGAGATTTCCGGCAGTCTCATCAATCCCAAACGAAGCAATCCAACCCCCCCCCCCCCACAGCAAAAGCTAGAGGTTCCAGTCCCCAGCCGCCAGCCGCCAGCCGCCCCCCGGCAATGCTGGGCTGTCTTTCACCCTGAACCACACCCCGCACCGCGAAGCCAGCCCTAATCCGGCACACACATCCTAAACCAACCCTGAACCAACCCTAAGCCAACCCTAAATAAACCACCACAACCACTAAACCAACCCTAACCCTAAATCAACCAACCCTAAGCGAACCCACCCCTAACCCCCCGTAAACCAACCCTAAGCCAACCCCAACTAACCCTAAAACCAACCCGAAACCAACCCGAAACCAACTCCAAACCACACCCCGAACACTCAACCACCCCACCCGACCCCCACAGGGGAGGGGGTGAGGCAGGGAGCACCAATTGTGGTTACGGTCTCGTTATGGTCCCTCAAGAGGATCCAATGATGTCCCAATAATGGATATAGAGACTATTGGATGTCTCTGGTGATGTTGTTGTAGCAATACTGTAAAAGCGTACCGCAAGGTTCGTTCCTTTTGTACTCAATAGCGCAACGGCTGATGCATGGTACAACTAAGAAAGAAAGGCCTTGAGCCAAAATGGTTGTGGGAAGATCAATGGTGTAATGCGAAGCAAAAGCAAACACAGGCGGTTGGTGGGGGAGGGGGGGTGGGGGGAGGTTCATGGCTTGGAACATATCCCCGAGTGACTTGCTCCATCAAGGCCATGAAGAAAACAGCTTCAGGCTTGGCTGCAAAGTCAGCCAGAAACTGAGGCAACAATCACAGCCTCCAAAGAATGTCATCCCTTGTTCAATCAGGCACTCACGCTGTTCCGCACGCAGATTTGCTGCTTTGACGTATACTGGGCCGTCCAGCATCACAAGGAAAGAAGAAGAAGAAGTTAGAAAAGAACTGCGTGTCCGTGCAAAACAGAAAGGACAACCACAACTCCGCCCAGGCAACACCAAAGTCGAACAACACTGCTCCAACACTCACCCTGTTTGGCGGGTTGATCGACTCAGCCCCTGCATGGGTGCTGGAACATACTCATGCTGGGCAAATCTGGTCCCATCAGTAACCATGGAAAAATCAGGCATCCTTGTGTTGCTCATTGGTAGCTCGTTGGTTAGTTGGTAATAAACTCGTAAGGGAAGCCCCCCTCGGAAAGAAATGGGGGAAGAAAACAAAACGCACCACTCGAGGGAAGCGGCAGTCGCTGGCTTTAACCCCGAATCAGTGAGCTCGCGGGGGCGGGGGGGTCGGGTCAGTGAACAGGGATGGCCGCGACCAAAGCGGCAGGCGGCTCGCATTGCCAAACCCGGGGGGCCCCAGGCCCAGGCTCGTCAGGGCCTGGATTGCATGTGCTGGATGAGCTCCAAAGCCCGAGCTCCGCCTAGGGAAATTCGAACTGGCTCTGAAGGCGGTCTTGTTGGCATAGAAAACTCGGACCCTCAAGGGAACCAAAAGGAAAAAGGGAAGCCAGTTGAAGATACCCTTCAGACAAATGACCGCCTTCTAAAGGCTCGGAGCAACACCCAAGGAGGTCCCTGTATGGATTTGTCTAAAAAGAGGGGGCCCAAAACTTTGCTTTGCCCTTGACAGACCTGAAGCAGGGTACCCTCAAGAAAAACGTACTTAGTTGTCGAACAAAGAACGAGTTCCAAACTTGGAACCCTGTTGCGCTTTTGTGTCCCCTTTTCGGGGCAGAACAAAGGCATCACCATTTCGGAGTGTCCAATGGTTCTGAAGCCTGGGGGCGGGGGTTGCTTTGAAGAAAGTAAGTGTCTAGCGCTGGGAGCTAGTTTTCAACACAACTTAAGGCACTCTTGTGCTTTGAAGCGCGTACGGGTGTAAACTTTTGTGGGCAACAGCCTCCATGGTTGGTGGACACATATCCCCATGTACACCAAAGGCACGTGTGAAACTTAACCTGCAGATGTCTTGCAAGATTGGAGGTTGAACTCCCCGGAAAAAAAGTAGCGTGCTCTAACAACCCCAAAAGGGTGCCCTTCACGAAAACACACACTCACATTTCGCTCCCAAGAGCAGGGCTTTTGAAGGCAGTGTTTTGTATCAGCAACACCTGATTCGCAGCCCCCCAGCACGCTCAAAATGAAAAGAAAAGCAAGAAGCAGAGGATTAAACATCGTGCCAGGAATAGTGCAGGCAATTCTGGCCATTGAAAGGTGGATTTGCTGGTAGATTCCAATGATTCACTGCCGCTTGGTGGGCTTTCTGGTAAGCTCCGGCCAGCCGGCCAGCCAACCAACAAACCAACCAATCAACCATGACAGCTTTGATGAACAAAGTCTTTGCATTCAAACTCAATTCGATCGATTGCCCGATGGGTAGGTTCCAATGAATCGAACATATCAATCGCCACGGTTGGACTTCTCGGACCACTGGAAATTTGAGGAACCGCCTCAGCACTGGCCAAATGAAAGGGGAGGCTTGGATTGAAAGGAGCCAACTCTGTAGGGATTCAAACCCACAAGTCTTTGCATGCGCCGTGAACTTCCATCCTTCAGGGCTCCAAGAATTCGTGAAGGGCAGAAAGTGGGCCGCAGCAAACGGGCCCAATGTCAATCTTCTACCTCTGCTTTGGTCAGGTTCGGAGCAACCCTTAGTTCATGGACATGGATCAAGCAACAGGGAGTGCCGCCAGTTGCAACAGCACAGGCCGTTGCTCCCCACACGCAGCCAGTGGCAAGTGTTGGTGATGTCGCGGGATGCAAGAAATTATTCCAAAGAACCTTCTCGCTCTTCCAATGGCCATCACCACCACATTGAACCATAAAACGCCCCGCCGCGTTCCACACCAATAGTAGTTGTCTAGACTTGTTTTTGATCTTTCTTTCGGGGAGCGTTGGACTTGGGAGATGCCCGGAGCACTTCCGGAATCGCTTCGAGTCGTGAAAGGGAAGCGAGCGTCGAGCTCTCGAGACCGGCTGGGCGCCAAACCCCAGCTCTTGCCGTAGATAAAGACTGGTGCTGGCCCTGGGAGCCCGGGTGAGGAAAGGGCAACCGAAGGTACGTATCCCAAGTGGACATACACCAAAATCAGCGGGGTGTAAATGAGCTGTACAGGGTGCAGGGCCATTTAGGGTACACCAAACACCCTTCAAATGCTCATATAGGTGGGGTATGTCCATCTCACTTGAGTGGATTGGTCAGAAAAGGTCCGGACATTTTTGTCTATTCGCCAATGCTTCAAAGCCATAGAGCCATGGTAGGGCGTGGTCCTTCGTCACTGGGCACGATTGGATTGCTATGACTCTTGCAGTGGGTCTCAATCAGTATGTGACATTCTAGGATTGATGTGTGTGTTCCGCATATGAGCAACAGTCACACTATGCGGTTACACTCCAGAGCATGGCAAATGTGAGAAACTTAGGGCTCGTCCCAAATATTCCTCCCAAATTGAGCATAGACTACTTAATAGGTTGACCAAATCACAAATCCGAGGGCTCTGGATGGTACAAGAAGCACACCCCGTTAAACAAATTGGGCTCCCAAAAGGGGTACCTTCCCCAAAGAATCAGAAAAAGACACACCCTGTGGTGCATCTCCTCTCGGTCTGCGCCTGCCACTTCCAGCATTCTGTCCACGATGGCCTCAAGCAGGGCTTCAACACGGACATTCGAAATTGGAGGCGGGCAATCCGAATCAATTTTTCCTCTGGTCATCTGTTTCCTGCACGGGCATCCACACATGTAATCTGTCGTCAACTGAGTCGTAACCAACAGGTGGTACTCACATGGTCTACCCAAAACCACGCTTCAACATCAAAGGGGTGTATATCTGCACCTATTTCTGGTTGGGACTGTCCCTACAAACTAACCTTCACTTGCCCGAATCGGTTTGATGAGAAGCAATGCAACCGAAACCCGCTGGGCTCAACTATGAGGTACCCCACGGTTTGGGGCTTGGGGCTCCCCATATGTCTAACCTAACTGGGACAGGTGTGCGAGTTGGTTCTAGGGCCCCCAAAATCGGCTTCGGTGTTCCTTTGGGTTGTCCTTCAAAACCACCAAAACAAAAAAGGTACCAACTCAAAAAAGGCACACCCATTCTGTTGAACCAGAAGTATCTAAAACCCACAATGTTATGTTATATGCGTTTCAAACTCAACTCCTTTATTTACCGGAAGTTTAGAAGGAACTTCCGTGTTACGGCAACTAATTGAAAGCCAGCTCTCGCTGAGACAGATGAAGAGAAGGAACAAGCACGCGAGAAAATATGTGCGCGCGTGTGGTGGGAGTATAGAAAGCTGCAAAAAGCATGGCCCCGTGCGTGAATTGGTGTCTCCGGAGAGCCGAAAGCTAGCCTGTTCGCGGCGCCTGGTCGGACCACTCTCGGAGCGCGTTCGGAGCGCGTTTGGAGCGCGGGCCCATTGGCACGGCAACGCGAAGGTTTCGCCAGGATTGAATTGCGTGGCAGGCGCAGCACTTTCACAAGGTCAGGTTCAGATTTCGTGGCAGGCGCAGCACTTTCGCAAGGTCAAGTTTTCCCAAGGTTTGAATGGCGTGGCAGGCGCAGCACTTTCGAAAGGTCAGGTACAGATTTCGTGGCAAGCGCAGCACTTTCGCAAGGTCAAGTACAGATTTCGTGGCAGGCGCATCACTTTCGCAAGGTCAAGTAAAGATTTCGTGGCAGGCGCAGCACTTTCGCAAGGTCAAGTACAGATTTCGTGGCAGGCGCAGCACTTTGGCAAGGTCAAGTAAAGATTTCGTGGCAGGCGCAGCACTTTCGCAAGGTCAAGCACAGATTTCGTGGCAGGCGCAGCACTTTCACAAGGTCATGCACAGCTTTCGCAAGGTCAAGTGCAAAATTCGTGGCATGCGCATCACTTTCGCAAGGTCAAGTGCAGATTTCGTGGCAGGCGCAGCACTTTCGCAAGGTCAAGCACAGATTTCGTGGCAGGCGCATCACTTTCGCAAGGTCAAGTGCAGATTTTGTGGCAGGCGCAGCACTTTCGCAAGGTCAAGTACAGATTTCGTGGCAGGCGCAGCACTTTTGTAAGGTCAACTTTCGCAGCCGGGGCTCGAACATCGCAACTTTTAAGTACGAAAGTAGTACGCGAAGTGAACTTTCGCAGCTGCAGCCAACTTTTAAGTACGAAAGTAGTACGCGAAGTCCACTTTCGCAGCTGGGGCTCGAAAATCGCAACTTTTAAGTACGAAAGTAGTACGTGAAGTCCTGGGGCTTGAAAATCGCAACTTTTAGATGCAGATATAGATGGATAGATAGATAGATCGATAGACAGACAGAGGGATACATAGAGAGATATAGAGATACATAGATAGAGATAGATAGATAGAGAGATAGACAGATAGATAGATAGATAGATAGACACGGGAGATAGATGGAGAGATAGATAGAGAGATAGATAGATAGACGCGCGGGAGATAGATGGAGAGATAGATGGATAGATAGATAGATAGATAGAAAGAGATAGAGAGATAGAAAGAGAGATAAACAGATAGAAAGAAAGAGATAGAGAGATAGAAAGAAAGAAAGAAAGAGAGATAGAGAGAGAGATGGAGAGATAAATAATTAGGTAGAAAAACCAACAGAAGATAGACAGACAGCTAGATAGATAGATAGATAGATAGAGAGATACATAGATAAATAGATAGAAAGAGAGATAGAGATATAGATAGATAGATAGATAGGTAGCTGGATAGAGAAAAATAAATTAGATAGATAGATAGATACATAAATAGATAGAGAGATAGATAGATAGATAGATAGAGATAAAAAGATAGACAGATAGAGAGAGAGAGAGAGAGAGAGAGAGAGAGAGAGATAGGTAGATAGATAGATAGATTAAACAAGAGATAGATAGATGGAAAGATAGAAAGATAGAAAGATAAATAGATAGATAAATAGATACATAGACAGAGCAGAGACAAAAGAAAGAACAGCACAAAAGCAAGCAAACGAAAGAAAGAAAGAAAAGACAGATAGAAAGAAGGAAAGAAGGGAGGAAGGAAGGAAAGAAAGGAAGAAAGGAAGAATGACGGAGAAAAAAGAAACAATGAAAAGGCAGAAGAAGAGAGAAGAATCAAGAAAAGAAAGAGAAAGAGAACTAGAGTTTTTAATTTTTTTTAAACTTCCGCCCACCGGCTTCGCCGGCTCTACTGGAATAAGCCTTACGCGCCTCCATAATTCGGAGCCTGAAATGCTTCGATGAGGTTTGGAGTAAGCCTCGTGCCTCCATATCGTCCATTTTCCCAAGCCTGAAATGCTTTGATGGGGTTTGGAATAAGCCTTACGTGGCTCCATATTTCGAGCATGAAATGCTTCGATGAGGTTTGGAGTAAGCCTCGCCTCCATATCGTCCACTTTCGCAAGCCTGAAATGCTTTGATGAGGTTTGGAGTAAGCCTCGCGCCTCCATATCGTCCATTTTCCCAAGCCTGAAATGCTTTGATGAGGTTTGGAGTAAGCCTTACGCGCCTCCATATCGTCCACTTTCGCAAGCCTGAAATGCTTTGATGAGGTTTGGAGTAAGCCTTACGCGCCTCCATATCGTCCATTTTCCCAAGCCTGAAATGCTTTGATGAGGTTTGGAGTAAGCCTTACGCGCCTCCATATCGTCCATTTTCCCAAGCCTGAAATGCTTTGATGAGGTTTGGAATAAGCCTTACGCGCCTGCATATTTCCGAGCATGAAATGCTTCGATGAGGCTTGGAATAAGCCTTACGCGCCTCCATATTCCCAAGCATGGCGGGATTCGCGCCCACAACCTTCTAGCGCTGCGGGGACACAAGGCGCGCAGCTATTACACCACAAGGCCTGCTTGCTTGGCTTGCTTGCCTGCCTACCTGCCTGTGCCTGCTTGTCTGCTTGCCTGCTCCCGCTTTCAAAATTAATCGCGCTCTTGTCCAAGGAGCCCGGCCTCAGCAGCGTACCTAGCACAAGAGCACGTAATCACAACACTGCCTGGACAAAGATGTGCAGCATGTTGCAGCAGCGCAAGCCCTGTGCAGTGCAAGCTCTGTGCGCGTGTTTTCGCGCATCGCATCCAGGCTCCCTAGAGGCCCGGAGGCGTCGCCTGGCCCATCGTTGAAAGATTTGCTCCTTCCTACCACCACATGCAGAAAGCGACAGCCTCCAAGTTCCAATGCGACGAGCGGAACTTGTCTTCCGGCATGGCGTACGCTTCCTTTACATCGCCTCAAGCTTGTCATGAGCTACGTGCAAAGTAGCAACCACATATGTGCAATCACATGCGAACCTGTTGCTGCCAATCACTTTGAATGGCTCCACCATGCTCCGCCTTCTGGAGTGAGGAGGCACACGATAAAAGTGCCTGGGATTACCTTGGCACAGTGTGCGTCGCAGATCGCATTCCTTCTACAAGAACAAGACAGCTGCTAAGGCTTTAAGGTGCAAGATGATGGAAATGGATTCTTCAAGCGCTGGGCACTTGTGTCAAAGACCGTTTGGGGCTGCTGCTTTAGGGAGACACGCAAATTGTCAAAGAATGCAACGTCACGCATCCGCATCGCATCACGCACAGACACAAACCACAGTTCAGCGCACACGTTTGTGACCTCGACGGGGTTGCCTGACATCCGAGCAGGGATGACGTGCAATCACAAAGCCAAACACACGCACACAACAAAGAAGAACAAATATAATACTTAAATACAACCAGCACAAATACACACAGTGGACACGGCAAAGTTCGCTGCGCTTAAGAGAGACAAAGTGCTACACGCGATTTCACTGCACTTCGTGCGCTTGCACGACGGCCATCGCAGCAAGCCAAGCTGGATGTATGCAGGTTGGTGACAGAATCTCAAAACAGCCGAAGGCTCCATGCAGCCAGGAGACAGTGCTCAAGTCACCCCAACTAGTGTAGAAGGCGAAATCCTCAACAAAATCGCCTTTGTCCACGTGGAAGGCCATGCGCTTACCCTGACAGGTTATTTTGACACTGGACATCTAAACATATACGCACTGCTACAAACTCGAAACTCGTCAGCCTCCGCGGCAGGGAGGTATAAGCGGAAGCCGGCATCCGTCAACGTGGCCGACTCGGGCCAGGTGTCCGGAATGTCAAGCGGAGTTGTAAGGTCGTAGGCAGCAACCGCCTGACCCGGACAAAGCCAGCTCTGAACTCAGACACAAACAGGAAGAGCTTAAACAATGTTGGCTGGTCTTGGTGCACAGTCTTTAATCAGTTTGTTGATTGGCTAGCCAGTTGCCTGGTATTTGTTTGCCAGAGTTCGCGAGCCAAGCTGCTAAGTTCATGTTTCCAAATAGCCGACTAAAACTCGATCTGACTTGCCTTTGCTGTTCATAAGCGCGTTTTCTCACGCACTAATCATGCTAGAACATACTATAGTTACTAACTGTTTGCAAGCTGGCGCTCAACAGCCAATTGTCGCCAAAACAAACTGATAGAAAGCACGAACCCGAATGCAAAAAATGGCCTTGGGAATGTGCATTTCGTCAACTCGAGCAATGATGTCCGGCTGGAGCCATGCTTTGAGCGACGCTTCTGAGCTTCTGATCGACCGTGCAACCGACACTTCTAAACATTATTCAACGCGACACTCGTAAGCGACTCTTGTCACTGACACTTTCGAGAGACGCTTCTC